GCTTTACTTCTAAGCTCTCCTTGCAAAGTATTGCATAAATAATGCTCATAAGGAAAAATCAATGCAAATTTCTCATACATGAATTATAACAATCATCACATTTATCATCAATCAACTCATTACCAAACAATGTCAACCAATCCACAAGTTCCCTAGCATGATTCAAGGTTTTTCCAAGTCCCTAAACATGCTCCTAAAATCAAGTTTTCTCGTATTCTTATACGTACCTTAATAAAATCATCTTTCCAACTAGCCACAATGCTAGAAATTACTCAACTTAAAGTCTCCTACAATACCAAATACATAAACTCATTTACTTCCTTGATTACACAAATTTCTAGCAACTTTTAAACACTTTAAATCTTCTCTAATAAGCTGAAATTTTGGTTTAAAACCTTTAAAACTTTTTCTTTAAGTGGGTAATTAAAACCACAAAGTAAAAACTCATTCTTGGCGTTTATATAAAAATTCCAGCACACTTTTTAAAATTTAAACCCCCCAAATAAATCTGAAAATTATTTTTAAAACATTAAACCTTCATCAAAAATCAAAAACTGTCCGAAAACCCTATTTAGAGGCTGATTTTGGCCACGAGAGAGTGGTATTCAATACCAAAGGTAGTGTGTTATGATTAGAACGTTGTTTACACATGAAAAACACTATTTATTTGTAAAAAACGGACGAGTTATAATCTCAGCGGGATTAAAACGTGATTAAAATAATTAAGAATGGAGATCGGAATTTAATTACCGAAAATTTGTTTTTATGTTTAATTAATCTTTATAAATTCAATAGGAATGAAAACCCTAATTTAATTGATTATTAGAACCCTAAAAATCAACACTTTAATAGTTAAAATCCTAACTTTTAATACTTTATAAAATCATAATTTAAAACCATACAAAATCTGAAATTTATACTCTTTAGTTGTCAAAACACAATTATTAAATATACTAATCATATTTCAATAATTAAAATCAAAACTCAAAAATACATACTACATAAAAATATTTTAAAAACAAGAGGAGAGAGAAACAACCACCGAGGGGTGGCCGACGGCTGACGGTGGCAGGTGGCCGTTGTGGTCGCCGGTGGTGATGTGACGCAAGGTGGCGTGAGGTGGGGTTTGTTTCTCCCAAAACCCTCACGTACAACAACATTGAAAAAGAAAAAGAACGGAAAGAATAAGAAAAGAAAGAAAAGGAAAAGAAAAGAAAACTAAGGGAAAAGAAAAGAAGGGTTACTTACCCCAAAAATCTGATTTTTGATCTCTTGTGTGGGAAATTTTTGGGGCTTAGGGGGATGTTTATAGAGTAGAGAATAAATATTAGGGTTGAGCTTAATAAATAAGTAGGCTTTAGTTATGAAATATTTGACCTACAAGGGTTCAAATAAAAGAATTGGGCTTACTTAAATAAAACGGGTTGGTCCACTAGAAGTATGTAAGAATTGTTTAATATTATTATTTAAATGAGCCCAAACGATTAATAAACATTTAGCCCAAAATAAATTATACTTTTATAAAACTCAATAATTTAAATACTTTACCCTTTAAATATTTAATTAAAATACTTGAGTACTTTTAAAAATATATTTTATAATTAATTAAATAATTTATAAAATACATAAAAATACGGAGTATTACAGAGGTGGTTGTTGTGCTTGTGAAGACCTTAAGAGTTTGTGAAGACACCTCATAGATGCCAAACTTAGAGTGGGCCTGGAAGAGGCATGCCCCCGTTGTGAGATCCTTAACAAAGAAAGAATTTGGTGAGAAAACAATAGAAATATTATTGTCTTTACATAGTTGGGAAACAGAGATTATGTTCTTGGTAATTGCAGGCACAACAAGAACATTATGTAGAGTTACAGAATTTGAGAATTTAATTGAGCCAAAATGAGTGATAGTGAGAGCCTTACCATCACCAATTAGAAGTTCTTCAGTGCCGTCATAAGGGGCATGTAAAGAGAGATTGTTGAGGTCATTAGTGACATGGTGTGATGCACCAGTGTCCAACAGCCAAGGAGAAGAGGAGGTATTTTGAGGGAGACCAAGTGCGTTGGCTTGAGGTTTATTTTGAGGACGATTAGTGGAGAAATAGGAGGGGGGGTTAGCATTTGGATGTTGTTTCCTGAATAAGGAGCACTGACTGACCACATGACCTTGAGTGCGACACCATTGACATCGACCAAGGAAAGGCCGAGACTGTTTGGTATGGGTAGTGGGTGTGGGAAGGATACCTGCAGTGGGTGAGCGAGGAGGGTTGCGGTTGTGGTTATGGTTGGAAATGTGAAAGGCAGTAGCAGGGAGGGAGGAAGGAGGGGTTTGTTGAAGCAAGGTGAGCTCCTTGTTTATGAGCTTTTCATGTAATTCCTCTAAGGAAATTGGGATATCCCTTGCAGTTACAGACTCGGCAACAGATTGATAGGCATCATCTAAGCCAGCAAGTACACGATCGATGAGATCCTCATGGTCTTGTGGCTTCCTAAGGCTGCGAGTTGATCAGCGCAGGCCTTGATGGCTTGAATAAATTCAGTTATTGTCTTATCACCCTTGGTGATTCAACGAAGTTGATCTTTAAGTTGTTTTATGTGACCACGGCTAGGAGTTGCATAGGTTTTGTGGAGAATATCACAAAATTACTTGGAGGTTTTTGCTTGAGACACCAACGGAACAAGCGTGGCAGAGAGTGTGCCAACAAGTGCACCACATATGAGCTTGTCTTGCCTAGTCCAGTATGAGAAATCAGGATTGGGAGTAGTGGTGTCGTTATGAATGATAGTGGCAGAGGGAGGAGGGAGGGAGCCATCAACAAACTGGAACAAATCGTGGCCAACAAGTATAGCCTCAATCTGCATTTTCCAGGAGAGATAGTTGGTAGCCGTTAGTTTTATAGCGTTGGGGATGTTCAAGAATATGAACGGTTTGGAGGGGTCCGAGTTGTTAAGAATTTGCTGAGATGAATTAGGAGTAGCCATTGAAGAGGAGATGGAGAAGGCTCAAAGAAGGAGAAGAAGAGAATATATGGAGGATCGTTTAATCTGATACCATATAGAAGAATATAATTTTTTTTTATTAAAAACAAGAGCTGTACACCAAGGTATAAGTATACACAAGAGAAGCTATTCTAGGAAAAGATAAATTACAATTACATAAATCAAGGAGAGAATAAGAGGGAAATAATCAGTGATTGATTTCTCCTTGATTGTAGGCATAATCAAGGGAATGGGAATGTTCATTCCGTAATAATTCTGAGCACCAATATCACAAGGAGAAACCAAAAGGATGAGCAAATCTTCCTTTTCGGGTTACTACACTGTTAAATCAGCATACACAGCAGTACTTGACTACTTGAGAACACCTTTCTACATACAACAAATTCAAATCTAATGGGATATGAAAACTTTCCCGTGGAAGCTTTGTTAAGAGCAGTCGAAAACTAATACTTCGTATCATGATATAGGTGTTGCAACTGATCTTGTGCATGTTCTTTGTGGCCAAGCCCTCAAGTCTTCAAAACATCTGTTCAGGAACTTTGGATGGCCTTTAAAAGTGTGGTTGGCATTGTTGTTAGGGATTAATTCTCGAGCTAAATATCCCATTCAAATTGGGATCAATAGATCAAATCCTAGATCAACCTTCTCTCAAAGTATGACAAGACTCTCTGTCAACTTACTATTGTGTTTTTTGTTGATAATTTAGAGTGTCGGAGTGGAGCGCTCGCTCTACGGAATCGCTCTCGCGCCAGCTAGGCGCAACCCGCGATAAAATCGCGCATAAACTGCGATGAGAATCTGGAAAATCTGGAAAGTTAGGAGGCGCGCCCGTGCCATGGTATGACGCAAGCCACGCCTAAACCGTGTCAAAATCGCGTCAACTCTCTGGAAAATTGAAATTTTTAGGCAAAGAAGGAGGCGCGCCCGCGCCGCTTCGCTCGCGTCCGCGCTTCTTGCCGTTTTATGCGACGGTTAGATTCTATTTTATATAGAATGTTGTTTTCGAAAGAGAATAGACATAACTTTATTCTCTTATTTTCTCCCCAAGAGTTCTCTAAATAATTTTCTTGCAAACTATTTTGAGAAAATCTCTTGATTTTAGCCTTCTTTGTGATTCATCCATCGGTGTTTCGATTCTTTGTGCTAAGAACGGAATTTCTGTCAATTGTATCTCAAAGGGAATTTCCGAAATAACCCTAGCACCGTGTGGGGGAAATTAATCCCTTTAGGAAAGTATTCATACGCCTTTGACAGTGTATCAAGACCATAGTCTCAAGGGACGTTGCAATTCTCATGTTCATGTTCGGTTGATCGGCTTGGAATTAAGGCAAGTGTAACTAAACTTCACATTAGTGTCGTCATTAGAAATTTCTGTAATTTCTTAGTGATATTAATACTTGATTGTAACACCTTGGTTGTGTTTGATTGTATTACTTTACTTTGTTATAGTAATCACATAATTTAGATTTTGTTCCCACACACTTTATTAAGTGTTCTCTTGATTGAATACGCTGTAAAACCTAACATTTTTTGCAGGATTGTGGGTGATTTGGAAACATATAAACAATGTGATTTCTCAAGGGGAAGACCCAGAGCCTAAAAATTTGGTCTCGTCGATGCAAGTGTGGGTTCTATCAGCCAGGAAGTGGTGAATTATAGCTTAACGTGTTCCCAGCGCAGGAGCATTCCACCTACAAGTCACTGCAATCAGGTTGCCTCAGACAGGATAGCAAAGGAATTTCAGCCTGGTGGCTAATAGGTGCTTGGAAACAATCTAAGATGAATAAATTTACATTCTATGCAGGGATAAGGTAGACCCTCATTAGAGTCATAGAAAAATTTGTCATCAGCATGGTTAACATGCCAATTAGATGCTAGTCAGCAGCGAAAACGGAAATAAGAGGCGTATGAGTTATGACTGCTGAAATGGTTAGAGGAAAAGGAATTTGTTAACATTCAGGTTAACACCGTCAGTCTAGCTCTCCTCCAATACCTCAATAATGTAAGCAACACACCCGAACATATCCAATGCCTTTTGAATGATATTTTAGTACAGGATAGTAGTTTCCAATTATATAATATTAATGTGTTCCTAGACATACTAATGCCCATAAGCTTGTTAACTATATTTTTTTCATAACGATGCTAACTGGATCGCTCGATTTCCAGGATGAACAGATCCAATCTTGGTGTCAAAGTAGTGATCAATATGCTACTCACCCAACAGCAATGCTCTGAGAATAGCTTCGGCCTTCCCTTCTGCTAAGGGAAACACATGCCCTGCCCCTGCCAACTCATGGTACTTAATCCATGGAAGTCTTTGAGCAATATATCTTTGCAATGTGACCGGTACAAGGGTATCCTCATCACCCTGCCATAGATGCACTAACCTTTGCTTGCTTTCAAAGGGGTTCGTGAGATTCATTGGACTAAATTCCCAGTTCCCAAATCCTATCATCATGTCTCGATGAAGTGACTCGAATTCTCCTTGTTGTTTTGTTTGTTCCTGTAAGAAAAGCCATAGTTTTTCTTGATTAGTATTGTGTTTACTATCCATGGGATATCAAATAGTATCCCTAAGATTCAGATAAAAACACACAGTACATGCATCAATTTTTTTCAACATTTCAGAGTTCTCTTCAACAAATTTAGAAAATTACTTCTAGTTACTCTTTTCGAAAGACTTTGAAGATATAAGATAATTATTGTTGACCATGAATGACGCACAGTTATGATTTGACCAAAAAAATTAAGTTGGCCTACTAACTAGTTTGAAGCCATAGCATTTAGTTTATAGCTTTCCCTACCTACAGAAGTCCCAAGAAAAAGATCATAATTGAGACTGATTTTGACGTTATAGGACTAGCAGCAACGTCAGATTGAAATTTTTTCAAGCTATATTATGTATCGAATCCAGTAAAACAATAAGATTTACAATTTTAGACCAAAATTAATAGATGAAGATAACTAACCCTGTGATTAGTACCGTCAGAGAATGTTATCTTGGAAAAGATTTCATAATCCTGTCGACTGAATACAATTTTTCCAGCAGCAACACTAGAAGCAGGAAAGAGCTTTTGAGTGTTCCACCAGTAAGTAAGCCAAGGAAAGTAGTGAACAACCCTTACAGTCCATTGGTCCTGTGGCAGCTGCTGTCGAAAGGCTTTATGAGATAAGCTCTCAGGGAAGCCACTCCACCAGTAATTCACTACTGGAGCTAAAAGTGCTGCTCCTGCAAGCCTGCAACAACATGCCAATGAACAATTCCATGAAGTTTCTAATTCACATATTCCATACGACCTTGAATCATTATGTATATATTTGCATTACACGAGTATATATAACAAATTGTTTGCTCATCAAATAATCAACAATATGTGACTATCATGTGGGTTAAAGTCTATCTGTATGCATAGATTGCACCATCCTTACCTTTTATTTATTTACCTTATAATCATATAGTTATGCTTCTAAGAAATAGGAATAGAAAGTATGTTCCTAAGAGCTATACAGTGTTGCTGATGTTAACAAAAAAAAGTAACTGACTAAGTACCTGTGGGGAATGTACTCGAGGGAACCCCAGACTGTTTGGCCGCCCATGGAAAATCCAACCAAATAAAATTTATCCCCGAGCTTTAACTGGTCAGCGAGCTCTTCAATATCCAAAGCCGTGCTTTTCATTGTCCTCTTGGGATCAGGATCACTCTCTCCATAGCCTGCCCTATCAAATGACACTATATACAATCCCAACTCTTCAACCACTTCCTGTGAAATGGGGATAAAATTAAGAATGAAGCTTATTATTGATGTTTATTTCAGATCACCAATAGGATATAGCATTGTTCCTCTAGTTGTATAAGGGACATTTTATTGTTAATTTCTAAAACTAAGTCTACGAAAGTGTAACTAATACATATTTGTTAATGTTCACTAGATATCATATTGAATATTATATGCAGGAAAAACAGAATATAATATGTCTTGAGTTGCAAGAGCCAATAGAATTGAGCTCACCATCCACAAAAGCGAGCCTGGATTTTAGCTCCTAGTAGAATCAAATAACTATAGAAATAGCAAAATACAATCCCATCCTTAATGAGAATGAAAACTTTATAATTACCTGAGGAAGATTAGATGCAATAATGACATCATGTCTGGAATTGTCAAAGCCATGAACATATACAATCTTAAACTTGGCATTCTCCTTTGGTACACCAATCTCTTTATAGGCCAAATGTCTACCATCCCTCAGCTTCACCCTTGGTGCTGTTACGGGTGGTCCACCAGGAAGCCCACATATTCGCGGTGGTGGAGGCAGGGTTGACTGACATATAAATGCCACTGCAACGGAGATCACCAGGATCACTCCAACACTCTTCAACATGCCTAAGAAAACTTTTCGAATGATAAGTTTGGATAGTGTTTTTCCTTACATATATAATACACAGAAGACGGTCAAAAAAAGGTGTTGAATAGTGTAAAAGTCAAAGCGAGTAGAGTAAAAAAAAAACAAAGGAAGTATATATTTAAAGCTCCAAAGATAGAAAATTGAAGGAGGACTTAGAACTTGATTGTAAATTTGTTGTAATAGTAGAATAGATCAAATAGAGGTATATGAGCCAGAAATAAAGAAAGTCAACACCCAATTCACTTAATTAGCGAATTTCAAATTTATAGATGATGGCCTCGTGGGGTGGGTGTACCACTGCACCAGTATCTTACGTGCTCACATGTAACCACGGATCCGGATACATTTTTTTCTAAATACTTTTGGTTGTCTGATGTACAAGTTTAATCAATAATAAGACTCCATTCATTTCACTTTTTTTTGCTGAACTGAAATTATTTTTATTGAACTGAAATTATTTTTACTAAATTGAAAATATTTTTATTGATTTTATTTTATATTTCTTCTTTATATTACTAAATTTTACTGAACTGAATTTATTTTTACTGAACTGAAATTATTTTTACTGAATTGAACTTATTTTTACTAAACTAAAATTATTTTTACTTAATATTATTTTTTTAAGCTCCAGTGAACGGGACTAAGTAGTATACAACTATTTACTTATCATTTGTATTTGGATGATTTTTTTTAGGAACATATTCGGAAATTATTCTTTGAGACAATTACGACTAAGTATCCTGGTGATTATAGTATCCTGAGTCCATATACGCCTGCCACAAGCGAACGGAGGTGCATTTTGGTTGCTGTAGATTACTTCACCAAATGGGTTGAGGCAGAGGCGGTTAAGGGCATTAAGACAAAGGATGTCATCTCCTTCATCTGGAGAAGCATCATCACCCGGTTTGGGGTGCCTATGTCTATGGTCTTTGACAATGACCCTCAGTTTGAAACGCCTACCCTCAAGAGCTGGTTAGGAGATCAAGGGATCTCGCATTGTTTTGCATCAGTCGGTCGTCCCCAAGCAAACGGCCAAGTTGAAGCCTTCAACAAGCTCATCTCAGACGACATTAAAAAGAAAATTGAAAGAGCTGGTGACCTATGGGCAGATGAGTTGCCTCATGTCCTATGAGCCATCAGAACAACAGAAAAAGGGGCAACCGGTGAAACCCCGTTTCTCATGACATACGGCACTGAAGTCGTTCTGCCTATTGAACATTACGAGCCAACACTTCGAATCATGCTCTATGATGAAGAGGCTAATTGGGAGGCCATGCGTCTAGCGCTGGATTCACTCCCGGAGCGCAGGGGCAATGCTGCCTTGCGTCATGAGATATACCGTCTGAGAATGACGAGAGCCTACAACAGAAGAGTGCATAAACGGCCCCTAAAAGTGGGTGATTTTGTGTTACGAAAAGTAGAGGCAACCGGTAGGGCCAATGAGCAAGGAAAGTTAACCCCTAATTGGGAAGACCCCTATCGGATTTTTGAAGAAGTTAGAGGCGGCACCTACCGCCTGGAAACTCCAGACGGCAGGCAGCTAGCCAGAACTTGGAATGTAGATAATTTGTAGCAACTCCTGATCTATCCTAAAGCATTACGCAGTTTCCGATGGTGCCTTTTGTTTAGCGTAAATAAGACATCCTGCACCGCTAGCACCAGTGGTTATTTGCACATCATGCTGGATAATCAATCATTATGCTTGACTCAAGTTACGGAATATTAGTGGTTTAATTTGTAGAACTTGATTCTACAAACCACTACTGAATATGACTTTGCTAAATCTTTTGAGGGGTTTCAAAAGATCATGAGCAATAGCATATGTTCCTAAAAAACACCTGTCTATGGCCTGCCTGTACTTAACCAGTAATCACATTTGTATTGTACAAACTTATGATAACTTTTATATATAAATAGTTGTTTTAATACTTTGTCTTACAATTGCCTTAATATATTTTGTTAGATTTGCTTTACATTATTAGCTTGATCTACACCATACCTAATACTAAAAATTATCACAGAATTACACTTATCAGATTTTCTAGCCTTTTGCTGAATTCCTATTCCAAAAATTATAAACTCTTTTACAGCACCACAAACTCTGTCAAAGCTATAGACTAAATTTCTAGATTTCAACATTTTAATGCAGAAATACACTTTTCAAAATTTGCAATATCTCACTAAATTTGTTTTGTAAAATTTAACTAATCTATAGTTAATACTTGAATTCAAATTCAAGAAATAAGACAGACACAAAGCGTGTGCAATTTTAGTGTCGAAACAAGTTAATTTCAGTCTTAAAGATATCATGCTCTACATTCCAAGTTTGAATTTGAATTTCATCTACTCTGTTCAGGAAGTTTTTTGAAAACTCCAAACCTTATGTCCTAACAGCTTATTTGATTATAGCTCACTTTAGATATCCTGTAATATGTTGAAGCACATCTCTAGTTATAACTGTCTGAATACCTTTAAATTTATATAAGTGTAAGCTTTGTTCACACTATGATCACAGTTGTTAGTGCTAGGCAATCTGCTCTACTTTGTTGTTCAAGAAAACTAATTATCCAAGAACAGGAACATCTCACTTACTCAAAATTAGATACATATCACATATAAACTGTAGGGAAAAAAATGTAAAAAATCGATCACATTTACCAAACAAATATAACAACAATACCAACATTATCCAAATATTATTTCTCATATATATTAAGATCATTGACCAGAGTTACAAACTAACAACTTAACAACTACAACCAACAAGTCACTTAAGTTGTTAACTAAGCCAATCAAAACATCAAACTTTCAAACTTCACCCTATGTTAACAAAAGGAATTGCCTGAGACAAATACTTAAATACTAATTAATTCCTTAAAACCACAACAAAACACCTAATTATCTTGATAAACAAACAGAACAAACAACAATGGACTATTATCTAACCAATTCTATCAAAGTTGCGTGGGGTGCGACGATATGCATCAGAATCAAGTGATGAGTCTGAATTGGCATCAGACCAGTACCTCTGAGCATTATGATCCATATCTTTGTCCCCACCATCCAACCCAGACTCCTGCACATCATCTTCCTCCGCATAACCGATATCATCATCATCATCATCAACCCCAAAGTTAACTCCATCTCCAACATCATTATATTCAGCATCAACCTTCTGTCCAACCTCTTCGTCATGTTCGACATCAACATCATTGCCATCCACGCTATGTTCACCTCCAGCATCATTCTCGCAATCATCATTGTGAACACTATCCCCATCTTCATTTCCTTCACCATCATCATCTTCAACAATTTGTGCATCTCCATCCTCATTAGCATTTTCTTCCTCATACGCTTCTCCCATCCCTATATCTCCCTCACCAACTATATTCTCTTCAATAGGATCAGCCCTCCCCTGTAAATTAACTCCCTCATTTCCAGCATCCTCACCCACAACATTCACCCCTTGCTCTTCAACCACCCTTTCAACAGCGTCTACATTCTCGAAAAGTGGTAAAAGCCTACTTTGACCTCACGAATCACTGTTGATAATATCATCAATTTGTCGATAGATTTTGCAAGCCGCTTATCCCGAATTTTCCATATTTCACGATGTAGAACCTGTACTTCTTCAAGCTTAGCAGCATATGTAGCCCAGAAGTTAGACAATTCTTGCTGCTTAGCCTCTCGAGATGCTCTAATGGCATCCGTTTCAGCGTACAATACATCAATTCGCGCTTTCAAATCATTCTCAACATTTTTGTCAGCTATAGTTACACTTTGGAAGAGAAAAGATGGAACGAAACAGGGGAAAATAAACGCTTCACAACTAAATGAAAAAGAAATGAAAGTTGTTACGGTTTTTTTTTTTATGTGTCCTGCAGGAGAGTTACGATTCAAAGACTGAGCTGCCGGTGCATGTACCTGCAACATCACGAAGACTCCGGTTGGTAGGAGCTTCGCCTCCGACGATCAAATTAGTATGCGTACAGGAGGAAAGAATACTGAATAGGTAAAGTTCTTCTCGCTGATTGGGAGAATTCCGCAATTAATATTGCTCGGTAATAGTGTTTGTATTTATGAATATCCCATTAATGAGGTTTGCCCCACTATTTATAGTGGGACAGACAAGTCCCTCATGGAGGGTACCAAAGACACGTGTCAACAGGGGATTGGAGCCCTGTTGACTAATGGCGATGCGCCACGTGGCCCAATCACGTGTCACCAGCCCATTGGGCCACGTGTTTAGGGTCATTTTTACTCTAAAAATTTGCCCCTCACAGGTGCTGAAGTGGCCGTGCCACGTGGCACCTGTGAAGAACTCTCTCTCTCTCTCTTTTTTTTTTTTTTTTTTTTTTTGAATCTCTTGGATTCTGGTTGTTTGGGTGAAAAGGCGGGAGAAGCAGAAAGTGAAGGGTCAGGACTCTTCGCCTTCTGAGGAGGGGCCTATAAATAGCCAAGTCCCCTCCCCGAGCCCTCATTTACAAACTTTGCGAATTTTCTGATTTTCAAGAGCAGCCGGCATTGAGAGTTTCTGAGATAGTTTCCGCGTGATCATCCGGTTTATAACCGTCTGGGGGGTTTGATAGCAAGCCAAATTTGCACCTGCACTTCAAACAACACAGCCGGCTCAAGAGATGCTTGTGTCTTCGCAAGCAATCCCAAGAAATTCTCAGCGACCAAGTGGTTTTCTCCTTCTTTCTTTTAGGTACCGCCTCTATTCTTTCAAGCTCTTCCATGTATTTACGCTTGAGTCTTTTGTTTATTTTCTCGTTTATTTGTCCCATAGTTAGATGGACCCTTTATACCCCCATCCGGAACATAATAATGAGACCAGTCGGTCTATTAGTACGGCTGAGTCTAGAACTGGAAACACCGACTATAGCCTCTGGGATTTGCTTTGTTTGTCTCCCAATCCGACCGTCTCCGTGTCTGTGCAGGACACAATGACCAGAACCAGGAAGACGGCTGTGGACCCCAATTACGGAGGCGGTGGCTCTGACGAGTTGCCGCCTGATGAGAGGGCCCCTAATGAGGCGGCCGTGGGATCTCCCGGAGGTACTCCTAGTACGCCTAGTGATAGCATTCTAGGCTCTGATCAGGGAGACGGTGAGGAAGCCGCCTCCGTAGAACGAAGAAACTCGTCCCAAGAGGCCTCCTCCTCCGCTTCCGACTCTGCTCTCGATCATGTGGAGAGCAGCTCTAGCTATCTAACACCATCCGTCGATAGTGAGGAGGAGAGACCCTCCTGGCAATCTAAGGGTGATCCTTTGATGATCACCGTCTCTACCAAAGATAGGGCCATGATGCAGAACAATTTGGCTGATTTCATCCTTAAACGGCCCCTTCAAACGGGATATAGACTGGTGGTCCCGCATGCAAAGGGGACAATTGCTTGGAAGGATGACCAGCGCAACGCAGACGGCTGGTTTGGCTGCTACGAGGCGGCACTCTTGGCGGGGCTCCGCTTCCCTCTTCATGACACAATAAAGGCCATACTAAGGGGGTATGGCCTGGGCATCTGGCAACTTACCCGCAACTCTTGGGTGAATATTCTCGAGTACATCGCCGCCTACGAAATGCAGGATCTGAACCCCGGATGGGAGGCGTTTGCCCATATGCACTACTTGAGTAGGAGCCCAGGCGGCTGGAGAGCCTGGTACACCCTGACCACTTACCCCCAGTACCTCATGACGCTTGACAAACCGTCTAAGTGGTCAGACTGGAAGAGTCGCTTCTACCTGGTCAAGGCTCCAACAAATGAGGAAAACAGAGATTTCCGGACATACAACCGGAAACCTGAACTTTTGGGGGAGAAATGCCGAATGCCTCCAGTGCCGGAGAGGGATAGGGAAGCAATCCTAGACTCCCACTTTTTTGAGCTCGTCCCTTCCACCCTCTCAACCGGAGAGGTAATAAGGGTGCCCAGAAACTGGGTGCCCAAACATGAGTTTCTAAGGGACGAGGCCTTTTTGTCCGCCTGTGGGCTTAGCACCATGTTCGGAAAATGTAGGTTAAAAGCCTCATCTGGTGTGTTTATGCCGGATGTCAATTTTCTCTTGATTACAATGCCTGTTTGTTATTGTCCTGATGTCATACCCCGTATTTTTGAAAGGTATTTTCTAAATTAAAGAGTATTTAGTCTCGTATTTTCAACGTAATTTCTAACTTAAGAGTATCTCAGTTTTGGATCCAAAATGATATTTGAATTTTGGCGCCTAAATCATTTATTTTAATTAAATGGATAAACTAAAAAAATTTATAAATAGTATTTTGATTAAATAAATAATAAAACAAAACTATATTAATTAATAAAATTAGAGGCATTTTAGAATTTAAGAATCTAATTTTTTGTAAATAGTATTTTCGGATTTTTCCAATAAAATCCAATTTTACTTAATATCTTGCTAAACTAATTATTTTCATGAAATAAAATTAAATTCCTAAAACTAAATAAATATCATTTTCGAATTTTACAATTAAAAATTTGATTTTAATCTAAGAAAAAGTATTTTTATAAAATAAAATTAATTCCTAAACTAATGAAGCATATTTTCGGATTTTATACATTAAAAATCCAATTTTTATTAATTATTTGCTAAATTAATTATTTTTATGAAATAAAATGACTTCCTAAATTAATCAAATAATATTTTAAATTTTATATAATAAAAATCTGATTTTTATACCTTAGTATAGACCAAATTTCAGCCACCCTAATAATCTAGCAAGAAAAATTGATTTTATTCTTCCAAATACCTATAAACTTATTAAATCTTTAATTTTTGACAAATAAATTATTTTATAAAATCCCTAAACTAACATAATAGGTCCAAAAATATTGAGTAATATTTTGCTCAATATTTTCGGCCATTCATGGTTTTTCTACAAAGATTTTTAAATTATTTTATTAAAAGTAAAATCCTTTAAATTCCTTTACTTCTATTGTTAAACCTAAAATTATTTGATTCTATGTCATACTTGCACTCCAAGCTTAAAACCTACCAAATAGAATTTCATGATCAAATAAATATTATAGCCTTCCATATATTTAAAAACCTTAATTTCTATTTCTCAAAAACTTCCATAATTTATAAACCCTAAAATGCCATAAACCCATCACCTAAACACCTATAAATACCCATTTCAAACACACCAAGAATCACACCAAAAAAACCTCAAGAAATTCTCTTCTTCCTCCTCTCTTTCTCACGGGTTTTCCCCTCTCTTCCTCCTTCCCATTTTTCCGGCCACCGCCACCACCGGCGGCCACCACCTCCGGCGACCACCTGCTGCCGGCGACCACCAACAGCCGCCACTCCAGCCGGCCACTCTTGCTCCTCCCTTGCATTGGTTCCCCCACCATCCTTCAATCCCTCCTTTATCTTAATCTTATTTATATTACTAATCATTTTCCTAAATATTATTTCTTACACAAATTAATTTTATAAAAATAGAAAAATTCTTTAAATTATAAACAGAAAATTATTTTAATTAATTCATGCACATATAGGGTAGTTTAATTAAGTTGTTGTGTTTATTTGATAGCCTTATATTAATTAAGGTTATAATTATGTGTAGGGTGTTCGTGAATTAGAGAATTAGTTGTGAATCGCTCAAGGTTGATCAAGGTACGTTATGTGGTTTGATACTTTCAAACTATATTTTATGTTCCGTATGAAGTTATAATTCATTCCGTATAAAATTATGAATATTTACATTCCGTGTGAAATTATATCTTACCACGTTCCATATGAAATTATGATTTAATGAAATCACACTTTATTAAACTCCATATGAAATTATATTTTACAACATTATATTTATTCCGTATGAAATTTGCTAAAGTCATAATTTATTAAGTTCCGTATGAAATTACATTTATTACATTCCGTATGAAATTATATTTTACGTTCCGTATGAATTTATAATATTACGTTCCGAATTAAATTATGAAATCATGCCGGATTGATTTTAATGATTTGGATTTAAATTAAAATTGACTTTGAGTCGTAGTTGAAATTATTGGAAATGATTTGCAAGTTTGTTGCTAAGTGTTGTTTCGGGGTTTTTTTATGTGTCCTGCGGGAGAGTTACAATTCCAAGAATTCCCTTCGACCGCCTGTACCTGCAAAATCACGGAGACTCCGGTTGGGTGGAGCTCCGCCTCCGATGATCAAGTCAGTGATGTACGGGAGGAAGAAAGTGCGTAAAAGAGTAATTACTTCTCACGTAATGGGAGAATTCCGCAATTAATATTGCTCAGTTTTGGTGTAAGTGTATTGAATGCAATTGCATGTAAGTGAATATAAATTGAATACCCCATTAAGGAGGATTCTCCCACTATTTATAGTGGGGAGCATTGGTTCCCCATTTAAGGTTCCTAGGACACGTGTTAGCAGGGGATTGAAGCCCTGCTGACCAATGACAAGGTGCCACATGTCGCTCAGCCATTGGGCCACGTGGCTGGGGTAATTTTACCCCAAACATTTGCCCCTCTCAGGTGCTGACGTGGCAAGGTGCCACGTGGCATCTGAGAAGAGAGCTGACGAAAGATAATAATAATAATAATTTTTTTTTTTTTTTGAAAACCTCTTCAAACTCTAACTGAAGGAAGAGGGAAAGGCAGAAGGGGAAGGGTCGCGCCCCTTCGCCTTCCGGGACAACCCCTATAAATAGGGGAGGAAGCACACGAGAGCTCATTTACAAACTTCGTGAAATTTCTTGAATTTTGAGAGCATCCGGCATTTGAGGGCATCCGGTTCTTGAAATTCAGAGCACACGGAGATTTGATAGTTTACGAGCAGCCGGTTTTCAGACCGCCTGTGAAGTAGCAAGCAAACAAAAGATTTTCGAGAGGGTACCTCAGAGAACCCAGCCGGTCTTCAACCGTCTGTGTCTTCGCAAGCATCCCAAGAAATTTTCTTGAGGTTTCGGCACTCTTCTCTAGGTACCGTCTCTATTTCTTCTCACTTTTCCATGTATTTCCGTTTGCGTCTTTTGCTTGCATTTTTGTTTATAAGTCCCCTAGGTAGATGGACCCTTTATACCCATACCCGGACCATAGTTGTGAACTCAGTCGGTCAATTAGTACGGCTGAGTCTAGAACTGGATCTGCCGCCTCTGATCTTTGGAATTTCCCCTTTTCAACGCCTGTATCGACCGACTCCGTGTCTTTGCAGGACACCATGGCCAAAATTAGGGGAACAGCTATGGACCCCAATTACAGAGGCGGAGACTCAAACGAGTTATCGCCTGAAAATCAAGGCCCAGACGGGGAGGTTAGAGAACCATCCGGCGGTACCCCCGCCACCTCAAGCGATAGCATTCTAGGCTCCTACAACGAGGAGACCTCTCCGGGTGAGGAGGCTGAGCAGCCAGAAGCTGCCAATGAGGCTCCCAACTCCCCATCCGGCTCCGATGACGGTCGGGTTGAAAGCAGTAGCTCCAGTTACTTAACCGTGTCAGAAAATAGCGAGGAGGCAGAGAGGCCTTCGTGGCAAAGCCGAAACGACCCTCTCATGATCGCCGTCTCCTTGAAGGACCGCGCCCTCATGCGGTCTTCTCTACAAGACTTTATCACCAGGCGGGCGCTTGGTGAGGGATACAAGATGACCGTGCCGGGGGAGTTCGGGACGGTTGTATGGGAAGATGACCAACCCAACGCTAACGGTTGGTTTGGGTGCTACGAGGCGGCTTTTCTAGCCGGTGTCCGCTTCCCCCTTCACAACACAATCAAGGCCATACTTAGGGGGTATGGCCTAGGCGTTTGGCAGCTCACCCCGAATTCTTGGGTGAATATTTTAGGGTACATCGCCGCCTGCGAGATGCAGGGTCTCAACCCTGGCTGGGAGGCGTTTGCCCATATGCACTACTTGAGCCGGAGCCCAGGCGGCTGGAGGGCCTGGTACACCTTGACAACTCACCCCCAATACATGATGACCTTGGACAAGCCGTCTAAATGGTCGGACTGGAAGAACCGGTTCTACTTGGTCAAGGCCTCGTCTGATGAGGAAAACAAGGAGTACCGGACCTACAACCGGAAACCAGAGCTTATGGGGCAGAAGTGCCGGCTGCCCCCAGTTCCCGATAATGATAGGAGGGCCATTCTGGACTCCGGATTTTTTGAGTTGACCTCTACCTCTCTCTCAACCGGAGAGATAATAAGGGTACCCAAGAACTGGGTGCCCAAACACGAATTTTTCAAGGACGAGTGCTTCTTGTCCGCCTGTGGGCTTAGCAACATATTTAAGACCAAAGGTTACGAACCCTAGCCGGTTAATTTGATGTCGGCTGACCTTTTTCTCTTGATTGAAATGAAATTCATATTTCTGACCGGATGTGTTTTCGTTTTGCAGAAGAAGCTAAGAAGATGCTGCCCACCGCCAAGACACCCGCATAGAAGGCTTCACATATCCGCAAGGAGAATCTGGAGAAGAAGCTTGCCGCTCAGGCGGCTAAAAAGGTTAGCTCGCCTGACCTTTCTATGTGTTGGCGTTGATGCAGTTTTTAGCTATTTATTCACCTGACCGTTTGTGGTCTTGTTTCAGGATGGGGGTGTTATTCCCCGCTCTTTGCAAAAACAGATCCGGCAAAGGCCGTCTGTTGAAGAGCCTGC